GTCAGAGGCAGCCTGAGAGCAGAAAGAACAGGTCTGGGAGACTCAGGGGGCCTGAGGACAAGTAGCTGAACCACAAAGCACATGGGAGAGGCAGTCGTCTTCTCCCCTTCCTTCAACTCTCAATTTCTCTTCCACTATTGGCTCCTTCTCCCAAGTTGCATCCTATTCTGACGAAAGCACAATTATTGGGCTTTATCGCATTTCTGCCCGTGCATTCTAGAGCTAAATTGCTCCAAAGATTGTAGACATCGCTCTTGACTCTTCTCCACATCCCAGTCCCTCTCCGACCCCCTCCCGTCTGGTTTCAGCCTCTCCGAGTGTGATGAACCGGTTCCCTGGAAGGTGTGCAGAAGGCTCTTCGCCACTGGTCTTCAGTGCTCTGACTCCTTACTCCGGATGTGCACCTGGCTTGAGAAGCCTCTGAACCGGAAGCACTTCCTGCTCTCATTTTCCAGCCCACAAGTGGTTAGATGTCTCCAAAGTTCTGATTCTAGTTCCTTTTTTTTTTCTTTCTGCACAAAGTGTAAACGTTTTCTTTTTAAAATTATTATTATTATGTGGAACAGGAAAAATTATTTTATTCAATAAAATTTTAAGGAATTTCATGTGTTCTGATTCTTTCCACTACCAATCACCATAGTTCTCCAAAGTCAGAATCTTCAAAATAACCCTTTCAAAAAGAAGTTTTGCTCAATCCACAGCTATCATGTCAGTCTGCTCACAGTTCTTTTACTTGGCTTCTTTGTTCTCCAATGGAATATGGACACGCTTGAAAGTTCCTCACCTGTAATCTTTGGGATCCAATTTCCTCATGCAATTTACCATGTTTAGGGTCAGGAGATGGATCTGCATGGTTCTGAATTTTAGACACCTTCTATGAATGCAAGAAGTTCAGATCATATTCACTCCTAAGCTATCACACACTAGAACAGTACAGAACATTGGGATGTACCAATATCCATGATAAAAAAAAGTTTGATCATTAAGTTTTTCATAGTTTACTTGGCAGTTCTGACTTACAGTTCTTTACCACAGATCTAATACATAGTCCTATGATTAAAGGAAACCATAGTTACTCTATGAGGCATTTCCAGCAATGTAGGTTTACAAAAAAGCCCCATCAGGATAGACCTCAACAGATTTCAGTTCTTTCTACACTTTCTCTTCCTCTGTAATTCTGTCCACCTGCGTGACTTCAACTATAATTGATGTGTGCAATTCTCACCCTTCTCTGCTTCTGATTCCCCAGCTGGGTTTCCGTGAGTAATTTCACATGGATGACTTTCTGACAACTCTGCTCCTCAATGGGTCTGAACCTCAGTTTGTCTTCTCTGCCTTCACAACTGTTCCTTCATCCAAGCCCCAAACCTGAGTCATCTGCAATCCCTGTCTTTTCCTCAACTGGTCACCACACAGCTTAGGTGAAGACACTTCTCAATGTTTCCTTCTGATGCACACATGAGGAATTCGTGCCATACCTACCTCTAGGGAGGTACTGTATAAGATGTTTCTGTCACCTTATTAAGCCCCTTACTCATATTTATCTTTGGGAGAAGAATGACTCAATGATGAGGGTCCCTGGGGAGGGGCTGGGACCACTACTGGCAGGGCTGGTGTAGGGAAGGTCCCTCTCACAGATGGTCCTGTCTCTTGCTCACCTGTGCTGCAGGCCATGGGGACTGGGGGGTGTCAGGCTCCTTTGAGTCTTCAGGTGAGAAGTAGTACAGGTAGGGTTTCCTTCCTGCCTTAGTGTTGGGAAGGCCTACACTTCTTCAGTTGTGACTGGGCAGGTCAGCAGAGTTAGGGGGAAAAGGGATAAGATGCTCCATCTTGGCCCTGAGTCTAAGCCAGGCTCTTAATTTCCTTTTGAATCCTTGTATGCGTTCTCAATTTGGTTGAAAATCTAAAGGGAAAAAGGGCTGCAGGATGTATCATCTACATACCTGATACCAAATTCTCTTAACTAATTTTCACAACTCATTTATCTTGGGTGACAGTGCTAACTCACTATCATAAAAATAAAAAATTATATATATATTTCCATCTTGAGTTTTCATTCCAAGGTATGAAAGACCTTCCTCCTCCATTGCTACCTCCAAACTTTAAATTTGTGATTTTGCTATAATATCAATTATTCTTTATTAATAGAAACCTACTGGAAAGAATAGGTGTGAATTCTACTAAATTAACTTCCAAAAGGATTGATTGGCTGATTTAATATTTATTGAATTCCACAATGCATTAGCATTGCACAACCACACAGAAAGAAGCAATTAATAACATGCCATCATTTGGAGAAGGGGATGATAAATTAGCAACAAACAAGCCAGAAAATAACGATAGAACCTAAATACTAAATTCTTTCAACGATTTGGTTAGCTTATTATTAGTATCCTTGAGATTACTGATGCAAAGAACAGAAATGAACAGCTCTAAAACGAAGTATCTATAATCTTAACTGCAGGGCAGTAAAGTATTTGCCTGCCAAAAGAGATAAATGATGTTCTTGTGTGCACTTGAAACTTACAAATGGCTGCGGTAAGACTCAGGATGATAACAGCTGTGCTCACGTTATAGCTCAGAAAACCACAATTGCTATTTAGTTGCTTTTTGTTGTTATAAATGCACAGTTTGGGGCAAACTGGTTACTATGCTGTGTTTGTGCTCTTAGGCATGTTTCAAGGAGAGTTAGGCCATTTCTGCTCACTCAGAAATTTTCCTCAATAAGGATAAAGTAAAGATGACTTTCCTATCTTCTGTGAGATATTTCTCCCAATGTTTGCAAAAGGTTAATTCAGTTTTGTTGTTGCTTTAAATTACTCCATTGCGCCTCTGCGAAGCAACGGGATAAGGAATTCTTCCTTTTCTGGTGTGCCCCTCAGGGCAGGCTCCCAGACTTTTCCTCAGTGACCTCTGCACAGTGGATGGGAATGCGGTGTCTCACTGCAGTGGCTGCAGAATCAGGAAACCTTCAAGCTACCTGCGCAGACACAATGCTACCTGTCAGCCCAAGAGCCTGAGACCTTGTTGGTAAACCCATCCTGCCGGCACTCTGACCCACCACTCTCACTTTACACAACCACTGCAAGGAAGGTCCACCTTCAAACCAGAACATGTTGTTTTAAGAAACAAGATGTCCATAAGAAAACCTCAACCCCATGTTTCCCGTGGTGATGAATCGCATTTAAGACATGCGCTGGGCAATGCCTTTTTGAGTGTCCATAACGCTTAGATGTGATGATGCTTAAAAGCCTTAAGAACATCAAGAGTTAAGCCTTTATGCAGAGCTGAACAGTGGATTATGTATAGTTAGAAAACTACACGAATTTTTATATCTTACAAGCAAGTAACAAAACAAGAATTGCCATCAATTCTTTAACTGCTTTCCAGAATTTTACACAATTACACGATTTCTTCAGCCTCCTAAATATTTGAGTTCACCTTAGTAGTTAGCAGAAACTCCACACATGTAGTAATGGGTTACCTTGTCATTCTAATTGGTGTTTCATTATTCAAGTAAATAAAACAAAACCCAGCCCGACGAGCAAAACCAGCCCCGGCTAGGGGGCAGCAGCCAGCGGCGCAGAACCGGCCGGCCGAGGTCGCTGTTGCCATTGGTTCCGAGCGGGTGCCCGGCGGCCGCTGCAGCGCCCCCTCCGCGCCGCCCGCGTCCGCACTGCGCCAGCGGGCCCGGGACAACCTCCAGCTGCAGGATCCCTTTTGCTGACGACGGAGGAAGGGGAGCGGGCAAGACGGAGAGAAGGAGTGTGTGACTTTTGAATGTGACAGGTCACTATTTCCACCCTCTCCCTACAAAATCTCCTCAAATTAGAGTATTTACAAGTCAACCTCCACCTTCTCCATCTGCTGATTCCATACATCTGAAATTGCCTCTCCCTCCAGCTGCACTCAAGGAGGCGAGGTTTTAGGGTCAACGCATGGATGGATAGAGGGGGATGCCAAGTGCCCACTTCTCGGCTGCGAAACTGTGCCAAGTTAGGGGTGGTCGGGGTCATTTCTGCAGACCCGAGCCGGGGCGCGCGTCCAGTTCAGGGGGGCCGGAGAGGTAGGGGTTGGCCCCCTGTTCCGGGGAACCCCGAATCCCAGGGAAGGCCCTGCGTGGGGCTCACGCGTGGTCGTGCAGGAACCCCCCCTCCCCCCACCGCAAGCAATCGCTCACCCGGCTGCATCCTCCGAAGCCCCAGCCGCGCTGGTCGGGGCGCGGGGGGGGAGGGGGTGGGAGGTGGGGGCAGCACCGCCCGGAGGCTCCCGCCGGCGCCCTGCGGTCTACCCCCGGCTCCGGGGCGCCCCCTGTCGCCGGGCTCCCCAGCGATCCGGCCGCGCAAGGCCAGGGAGGCGGCAGCCCGGTCGCTCGGGAGCGAAGGGGCGCCGGGCCGGAGCCCCGCGGACGGCGCGGACGGGCAGGTGGCCCCTCGGGAGGGCGCTGGGCGCTCAGGCCCGGGCGCAGCCGGGGGCCGCCGGAGCCGCCGCAGCCATGTCCGCGCGCGCCGCCGCAGCCCAGCCGTGATGTCATCCGCGGGCCCCCGCCGCGGCGCCCCGCGCCCCGCGCCCGCCCCGCCCCGCGAGCTCCGGCTCCGGGGATGCTGCGGCCGCCGCGGCCGCGGGGCGATGCGCGGGGTCCGGGCGGGGCCGGCGGGGCGGGCCCTCCCCCCGCGCCGCGTCTGCGGCGGGGCTGCGCCCGGGGGCTGCGCGCGGGGCGGGGCGGGGGCGCCCGCGGGGGGCGGGGGCGGCTCCCCGCCGCCGAGTGCCCGCCGGGCCGCCGTCTGCTGAGTCATGGGCAGCGCTACCCGCAGCCCGGGCTCATTCGCGCAGCGCGGCGGCCGCGGGTGCGCAGCCATTGGGACGGCGCGGGGCCGCGAGCGCCGGGCATGACGCGCTGAGCCGCGCTCGCCGCGCCGCGTGCGCCCCGCGCGGGTGCCTGTGCCGCCGCCCTCCGGTCCCGCCGCCCGCCCGCCGGCCGGCCGCGCCGAGCCCGCACCATGATCGCCGCCGCGTTCCTCGTCCTGCTGAGACCCTATAGCATCCAATGTGCCCTCTTCCTCCTGCTGCTTCTGCTAGGCACCATCGCCACCATCGTCTTCTTCTGCTGCTGGCACCGCAGGCTCCAGAAAGGGAGGCATCCCATGAAATCGGTCTTTTCGGGTCGTTCAAGGAGCCGAGGTGAGGCGCGTCGCGGCGGGCTTCCTCGGGGCCGGGGGGACCGCTCGGCGGGTCTGGAGAGGGGAGCGCGGCTCCCTCCGCGCCGCTGCCCCCGCCTTGTCCTCGCTCTCCCTCCCCCGGCCCGGTGCGCTTCGGTGTTTCAAGCCCCGGCCGCCTCCTCGGGTCCGCCGGGTCGTGGTGCCCGCGGCGCGCAGAGATCCGGGAGAGGGGAGGCGGCGGACGCTCGGGCTCGGCGCCTGAGCCCCCGGGGCGGCCGAGCCTAGTCCGGGCTGCGGCAGCTGCCTCCACCCGCGCCCCTCGGCGTCGGAGCCTGGGGCAGGGAGACTTCGGGGCGCCCCAACTCCCCCAAAACTTTCCCTGAAACTTCTAAACTGATGGCCTAGCAGCCAACCTCCTCTGCGGGCTATCCCCACTGCGTTCGAGGCGTCCGGAACGCGCCTTCCGGCCCCCGGCCCCCCAGGTAAGTCGTCGGTGACTTGGCAGGTGAAGAACAAGGAGTTAACTGAAGTCTCGTTTTTCTTTTTTTTCTCCCCCAGATGCTGTTCTGAGATCTCACCACTTTCGTTCCGAGGTAATTTATTTAGCGCGCACGCTCAAGGTCAGAAGAAGTTCTCTTTCCTGGGTACCAGTATTAATCATAGGCGTGTTTAGAAGCCAGTAGGGAGGGTGTTGAATGTCGAGCCCGCAGCCCCTAAGCCAAAAGGGACATGTGTGCTTTGAAGCGACTCCCCAGCATGAGTTCCCCGGGAGCGGTTTTGGCAGATCTCTTGTGTCGTGGGGCTGCTGTGCTGGAAGGGGAGAGACAGCCCCTAAAAGCGGCCTGACCTCAGGAACGCAGGCTTGCGGTGGCTGTCAGCTTCCTTGACCATCTGGAAGGGGCCGGAAGCTTTCTGGGCGCAGTCAGCCAGCCGCCGCTGTTCACTTGGGTATCCAACCACGCTGGGAGCTTTTAGGGAGTTAGTGCAGGGCAATTTGATCCGTGTGCATTACCTTTTAGACTTGCAAGTTTGTATTCCTATTCACCCAGAAAGCGCTCCATGTTTTACTGGGGACGTCTGATGAGTTTTGCAAAGAGATGATGATAGTGATCTCGCTTTACCCTCAAAAGGTGAATCATCCCTCCCTCCTTAAACAGTTGACCTGGCTCCACTGATTCAGCAGAACTGTTGTAGGACTAGGTCTGCTGGAGACAGAGCAAAACCGGGAAACACGAGCTCTCCCGACCCAGCGTTTCTTGATGAGTTTCCAGGCCAACCCCCACTTAATGCCAGATGATTTCCCCCCCTTTCCCGGGGAGTTTCACACAGCCAGGAGGTTGCTGATAGCAATGGGTGATGTGGTTTGATCTTCTTAGCAAAGACTTCAAAGACACCCTCCATCGACTTGCTATTTACCTGAGAAGTTATTTCACATTTCATTTCCCGTGTTAATCCGGTGTTTTGTCGCACCCTGGATGTTTGATTGGACTCTGGTTGCTTGAAAGCTTTCACTGTATTACTATAACACCCTTATAATGCTGCCCAATGAGGAATTGTGCCTGGTGCCCTGGTGGGTGAGAACTCTGGGCTCAGTTTAGGACTGTAAAGAGAATAAAATAACCAGTCAGATAATCAGAGGTTTCAGTGCTAGCTAGTTGTGTGGTGCTGGGAGACACAACTTCTCAGACCCTCAGTTCTCCTTCCTGTCAAATAGGGCTAATAGTACCTTACAGGGATCTAAGGGGAGGGCAAGGTTTACCAGTAATGGTGTTTTAAAAAAACCCATTTATGGGAATTTCCTGGCAGCCCAGTGATTAGGACTCTGCCCTTCCATTGCAGGGGGCCTGGGTTCAGGGAACTAGGATCCCAGAAGCTGTACAGTGAGGCAAAAAAAAAAAGAAAGAAAACTGGAAACAAAAACCTGTTTAGTTTATAGTAGCTATTTAGTACCTGACAGGTATCGTTATATTTTGTAAAATTAAATTAAAAATGTGTAAAAATAGATTTGTCTGCAAATCTTAAAGTCTTTATTAATTAACTCAAAGTTATGTGAAACAACATAAACTGTGTCTATTATAAACTAACCCTTTTTGAATATCTGATTAATAGAATAACCCATCTAGAAGTGATAAAAAATCAATCACAGTCAAGAAAGGAACACCAAAATTTAGGATTTTGATTTTAAAAAGAGATCACCAGTCTAATACACATCAGCGCTAGAACCAGAATCAAAATCCTGTTCTGGGTTGTTAGATCAGCCATCAAATGTTTTAGCGAAAAGTGCAGACAGAAAAAAATGAGATAGAACTACGTTTTGTTTAGTTATCTGTCAGTTTTTATCCTAAACTTGCCTTTGGTTAGGAAAGCTGGGAGTGACTGTTTAACGCCGTAGTTCATTTCACAAGATCCCCCGTACAGATTGACATCCGTGTGTGCTTTGTATTTGCCTTATCTGCTGGGTTGTGAGCATTTTGATGGCCTGGACCAAGTCTCTTGTCTAGGGCTGTATCCCCACTGCCTGTTGTATAATGAATATTTATCAAATGAGTGAAAAATTCCTCAGTGAGTGCCTGTTCCCATAACTGGGCAAATACAACTCAGAATTGGGCCGAAGAGAAAATTTTTTTGCACTTTCTCAGGACAGTGCTCAGAATTCAGCATTTGCTAAATCCCAGCTCTTATTTTATCTTTCCGGATGTTAAAATAGTGCTCTGGAGTTTGTACTGAAAATGTAAATCACTAATTACAACAAAATGGATTTGGTTAGAATTTTTTTTTTCTTTTTCAGAAAGTTCAGTGCAGTGTTAGCGTCATTTGTTGATAGCCCACTTATGTTCTTTTTTGTACCAAGGTCCTGTGTTAAACTACTCAAAGAAAGTCATGTGATAAGTGAACATCCTTAGATTGTTCCAGGAGAATGTCTATTTCATCATTGTTTCATGTTCACTACAAATAAAACATTTTCCCCTAAGGAAAACAGAGGGGTGGATTTTTTTCCCCTTCTCTCTTTCAAAACACCATTTCCTGCAGGATTTTCTCCATGGGAAATACCTCTGAAGTTTTTGGATTCTAGCATATTAGAAAATTAGAACTTGTGTTGCTTTTTAGCAGTAGCTGATGCAAAATAAGTATCAAATAAAACAATTTTGTTTTCTTACAAGTTATAGTTTTGTGGAGTGTTCTATTACTTACCCCAGTCTCAGTCAGTAGGTAAGTCACTCTCAGCTCTTCTATGGTGGTCAAATGAGAGAAGTGGGTTTAAGATCTGCTGGTGTATTTGGAAATGTGAAAGAGCTTTGGGGGTGCCCTCGAACACGCGACGTTCAGTTAGCACTTGGCTGCTTTACTTGGTGGAGGATATCTCTTCTGTTTTCCATACGTCCAGAAAGGAGTCCAATTGGACAGGAAATTTCAGGATGTTTCTTCCCAGGTAGGGAGAGAAATACTTCCCCTGGGGGGAGACTTTGTCATCAGGACCCAGTGTGCTTTGGAGAAGTTTTGCAGCAGGGAAAAAAAAAATCCATGTCTCTCATCTGAGTGGCTGCAGCTTTTTAGTTCTCACTGAGTGAATAATCGAGCTTCCCTGGTGGGTCAGATGGTAAAAGCATCTGCCTACAATGTGGGAGACTAAGGTTTGATTCCTGGGTCAGGAAGATCCCCTGGAGAAGGAAACGGTAACCCACTCCAGTATTCTTGCCTGGAAAATTCCGTGGATGGAGGAGCCTGGTGGGGTCCTCCACCATGATGAGGACCATGGGGTCGCAAAGAGTCAGACACGACTGAGCATCTTCACTTTCAGTTTCACAAGTGAATAATCAACATCTCCTCATCTCAGTCTCTCCCTCATAAAGCTAAAAGTAATTGATACAGATATTCATGAGATGTTTGGCAGCTACCTCCAATCCCTTTTTATTTTCACACACTTGCAAACACATCTTTACTGGCTTAGGAGTTCCCTAAATTTTAATGATAGCATATGAGAATGTGAAATTATTAACCACCCAGCAAGCGCTCAACCCCAATTCTCTAACAGATAAAAAGGGGCTCAGATAACTAGAAATATGCACTTTGTATGTAAAAATAAAGAACTTGTGCTGTGTGATACATATATACATATATACACTATACATATATAGTGAGATACATATCTATATATATCAACAATACATATATTGATGGGGAGAAGTGATTTCATGTTGATGTGGGACACAGTCTGGAAACCAAGTGCTCATTCTGGGTCTATAAGAAGGATACTTTTACTGAGGAGTTATAAGATTTGATGCTGTGACTTTACACAATGCCTGTTACCCTAGATGCCTGTGATGAGGACCAGACAATGACAATCCTGATTTTAAGGAAATCTCAGAAAGTGATATGGGTAATTGAGGTGCCATTAGATTATAAGAAAGAGCCTTGGGAGCTCTTCAGGAGAGTGGAGACAATTACATATAATGCCCTTGAGAGTACCCAGTGTGGATAGTGGTACATGATCCCTGTTCATCAGCCCCGTGGAATAAGGGCAGCCTTGTTTGATGTCAGGAAAAGCAAGAGTGCTTTGTGTCCGTCAGGACTGAGTAAATAACTTCACTTCCCATTTCAGGGAAAAGGAACCACTGTGTGATTTTTAACTGTGTCATTCACATTCCAGAGAATCATGTGCCCAGAATTCTCAGTTAAAGAGAGAAGCTAAGTGGAGTGACTTTTTAGTGGCCATGTCTGATGAAGCTGTCAAGGCAAATCCCTTAGATTTTCCCAGGGATGCTCCATGGTATCCTCTCCTAGGTGAAAATGTGGTCCACACAGACTCTCTTGGCCTCACCAAACCATGGAAGCGCGTTTAGTGGAGTAACCGTGGTTCACAGCTTCTCCTAATCTGCATCTTCCATTAAGAATTACCAATCTAGGGACCTCCCTGGTGGTCCAGTGGCTAAGATTCTGAGCTTCCAGTGCATAGGATCAGGGTTCGATTCCTCACCGGGGGACTAGATCCCATATGCTGCAACTAAAGATCCCATGTGCTGCAGTTGAGACCCAAAGAAAAAAAATTGTTACCCATTTAGCAGATTAGAGAAAATGATAGTTTATTATTTAGTTAGTTTATTAGTTAGTTTTCTTTTGCAATTAGTTTATCTTTATAAACAAATTCCTTGCCTGGAGTTAAATTCTAGGTCTAAGTCAGTTTATGCTAACTAAACCAATCTTAAGTTGAACTCGACACATGATATTGGGTTCATTTTGCTTCACTCAATTATTTTAAAAACAGACATTTATTTTTTTGTCACCTACAAGGTATAATATTAGATGTTAGGAGTAACGAAGGGTCTGAGGTATAACCCTTGCCCTTAACGATAACTTTTCAGCTCAATCCCAATGGCAGTGCTGAAATTTTGTGGCTACTGGTTGGGTTCCCGTAACTGAGCTGCTGTGCATTTCCAGCTATGAATCACAAATGTGGTGGAAGCATCAGAGGCCAATCTGTGCAAGTACAACGAATACATTCATGAAAAAGACAAATTAACCCCACCCACCGGGTCACCACTAGCATAGAAGTCACCCTTACTTCGGCTCCGTGGGGACAGAGGATGGTGAGCAC